ATCTCTCTGAACTTTCTAGCCAATCTTCTGAGAGCATCACATGTGTTGACCCTGCAGAGGTATAGAAGGAGTGTTACTATGGAGTTGCAGCCATTTTGATGGTGCAGCTTCACCCACATGACCCGTTGTTCTAAACTTAACATTGTGTTGTACCTTCCACTGAACAACAAGTGTGCATTCGACTCTGCTTATATATACTACACTAATTTGCATAGCAAATGTAAATTCTATATTTCTCATATTACACACTTTAACCCATATAAGCATATCTTGATAAAGCTACCTTTATTACATTTTCTGCTATTTGTGTGAAACAATTATCCCTTTCTATATCTGTTGAACTTCATAAGAGTTTACGGTTCACCTACCACTATATTTATCTCATTGTTACATCGTTATGCATCACAGATTCTACAAAGGATCAAATATAGATCATGCAACATCATCGTTTAATGTTTTCTGAAGTAAATACATATAATATGTTATGCTGTTGAAGACAGGTCCTCTATTACATAATGCACACAATCTTTACAAACAAGCTATATATATATATATATATATATGCATACAAACATTTTGCAATTACTTTTTTCGTGGATGAGTATAGGGATGTTTTACTTTGTGAATATCACAAACTATTAATCTGGTGTTAAAACAAACAAACTATTTACACATCTAATTACTAGACATGGTGTTCCCTGTGCTTTATATGTGGCCTGGGGTTGTAGCATTAAACTGTGTGTCTATGTGTTCATTGTGTGAGTGTAAACAACAGATACTTTCAGTAATATATTCTTTGTTGTATACAAAGGAATCGCATTGACAATTATCCACACAAAGAGCTTATTCAGTGTCAGACTTCGTCTGTTTTAATCTTTATCATGCTTAGCCTCTACACTATCATAGGAACACTCAATTTTCAATTAAAACAATTTTGTTAAACTATATTTTAAATTATTTCAATTTACATTTCACGTAGAAACGTCATCCAGGACAATATTTAATTCGGTAAATTGATCTACAAAAAACTAGATTTGTACTTTTGAAAAAATGTGTTCTGTGGTATATCTTTCTAGTTTGAGTTTCAAAGATACTAAACTGACTTTTTTATTTGTTAGCGCGGTCGTTTGTTGATGCAATTCCATCAAAATATCTCATATTTTTGTGTTATATCCTGTTAATCACCTAAGTTTACTGCCAGGAGAAATCTTGACGACACTCATAGTACGGAGGCCGAACCGGTGGTCACTTCAAGATTTAAATGGATGTTGTCTGTAAGACGTTTCTAAGAAATTAATGTACAGAATGCGATATTCCCCACTTGCAAATACACACGAGTTCGGAATTATACGTTTTTACTGCACTTACAAACATAAATCTTGAATAAACGAAGCATTTACCATTGCAGCAAAATAATGTAATAACCTGTTTGTGATAACACGTCACAGCTTTCGGTTCAAATTAATGCTCACCGAGTTCATCTGGAAACTTTAGCAGCTAAGTTTGTTTGTTTGTAATTAAGCACAAAGCTACATAATAACCTATCTGTTCTCTGCCCACTACGGGTATTAAAACCCGGTTTCTAACGTTGTAAGTCCGCAGACATGCCGCTGTGCCACTGGGGGGGGGGGGGCAGCAACTACATTAAACGTATTTTACACTTTACAATAGCGTTGAGAGACATTCCAAAATTTTCAAGATTTTTTGCCGCATAGCGGCTCCTAGAGCGACACTGAGTTTTTCAAGTACAAACTTTTAGCTCATAGCTCTGTCACTTCTTGATCGATTTGAGATCTAATTACACTTTTAGACTCAGGAGGTCAAACTCTTTCGATTGATGTATTTGACCACGCCCGAAGTCTCGTAGATTAGTTTACTCTAATCCTGCCTAAAATAATTTCAATTTGAGGGTAGGCTGGTAGAGATTCTGATGAGTAATAAAATCGACTCGGGTATACGCGCGCCCCACGCTTAATATAGCTAATAAAAAATGAAAAAAAAGTATCATAGATTAATTTGCTCTAACCCTGCCTTAAAGAATTTCAAGTGCTGAGGCTATTGATGATTCTCTTTTGTTATACCTAATTTTTATCCGAAAGACTATTATATTTTATACTTTGAACATTTCTAACGAGTGTTATCCATATTTGCGTTTGATACGCTCGCTCCTAATAATCAAATAATTGAGTTAAATAACATAGCTATGCTCAAAATTTGTTGCCTGCTGAAAAGCGAAAGTGTTCTTCCAGCAGTAATAAACTCCATTAAGAACATTCACCACTAAAACTACACCCCAGTTTCAACTTACTGATACGACTGGGGTGGATGTTTGAGTTACTGTCAAATACCAATGATTGATGTAATGCCTCGAAAACGTGTTTTGTGAAGATCTTGTCAAGGATTAGGTTCGTCAAAAATCCTGGTTTAACGTTCACTGGCTTTTCGAGTTTTGATTCACTACGTTCGTACAGGTGCACCAATCAAAAGAAAAGTACTGTAAATTACTTTATCGTGAGAAAATATAAGGAATACTGCATTTTTACATGAATGTCAACTTTAATGCACCTGAACAAGATATAATGAAACAAATGAATAACACGCTAATATGGAGTTTGAGATAGAATGCATCAAAATTAATGTTCTTGTGAAGAATACTCATCAGTATAATATGTTAAAATTTACCTATAGAATTCACTTTTGTTATTACCAGACTTTCTCTTACTTGGAAATTTAAGGAAACAAATTTTTTTCGAAAGTTCGATGGTGTAATGACTCAGTTTGTTTGTTTGTAGTTAAGCACGAAGTTACACAAAGGGTTATCTGTGTTCTGCCCACCACGGGTATCGAAACCCAGTTTATAGCGTTGTAAGTCCGCAGACATGCTGCTGTGCCAGTGGGGGATGACTCAGTTTGAACAACAACAAAACATAAAGTTAGGTATATAAAATACAATTTTAATAGTTTGGTTTTGAGTTTATTTCCTGATTAAGTATATTTTACTACAAGTTACAGCTTTTACAGTAAGTAAGATTTGATTTTAGAACAGGTTTTCGTTAGGACACATTTATATAAAGACAGGATATCTTATAGAAATATTTTTATAAAATAAATAAAAACAAGTTCCGTGAGAATGCCTTTCTCTTTCTTCGTAGTGTTAAGACAAAGCCAACAAAACCAGAGGCAAACTTAACAATCTCAGGGACGCATCTTTTACAAATTTACAAAAGAACTAAGTTGTATTTTTTAAACTTTGGGCAGTATAAGAACAAGGCTGACAATATAAAAATATTTACAAAAAAATTGTAAGTGAAAAAAATATTGCTTAATAATATATCAACCACACCATATTTGCCATATCCAGTGCTGGCGATGCCTTTCGCCCAATACCAGGTCTCATCAGACTGGCTAGGATACAACAGACACAGTAGCAGTTCAGACGCTATTTATATTATCAAATGATTTGAATAACAAGTGTTCCGGTGTGACGTAGATTAAGTTGGTGAACAGTAATTGTTACTTAAGCCACTACATATAAGAATAAGAGTATCACTTTATTAACATTATATCAATGATTTTACTTTAACATCAATATAATCTTCTCATCTGATAGCTCGGTTTTGAATATACTTAATATTTGAATAATTGAAGATTAATTATTCCATTATGCTTCGTTTTCAATATTCACTATTTTGATTCTATACTAAATGGTGTGTATTTTTTCGGCAGGTGAGAAATACAATGTACTTTATTTTCCGTTATAAGAGAAGTTTGGGAACTTGTATGTTCTTGTAGACGAAATATTTGATAATATTGGAGTAAAGGAACTAATGGCGAAACCCTTGAAAGGAAGGCATCGAAGAATGAAAACAGTCAGAGAAAAACAGCAACGAAACAACTGGAAAGTTAAGAAGGAGTGATACGTGTGGAGTTTGGGAAAAAGAAACTGAACACTTACCATCATAGTACACGTACAGAACAAGAACAACATATAGGAAATTCATGATGTCATAAAAAATATACGAATTCAACCCAGGAAATAGACATATATATATATATACATATATAAAGCACTATTGATATATTTACCGTTTGTTTGTTTATAATTAAGCACAAAACTACACAATGGTCTATCTGTGCTCTGCCCGCCACGGGTATCGAAACCCGGTATCTAGCGTTGTAAGTCCGCAAACATACAGCTGTGCCACTGGGAAGGGGCTATATTTACCGTAAATACTGATTTATTGTTTTCATTCGGAAATAGGACATTTTTGTGATAAGTCGAAACATTTTTACTGTCTGTTTATTCACTTTCTGATATTATCCAGGATCTTAAATTTCACTTTCCGACATCTTGAATATAAACTGTTTCATTTGCTTCATTGTGGAAAAATATTTCTTTTTTTTTGTTCGAAACTGTTTCAAGTTTTGCTTGATTACCAGTGATCGCCTAGGGCAGGACAAGGTTACTAGAGTCAAAACAAGCTCTCTCTGACAGCATTTGAATACCGTGTCTACGTGTTATGTTATTATATAGTCATTTCCGAGATACAAGAACCTTAATTATACACACGAGGCTCCCAAACAATTAAAATTACTCCCGTTGTGTCGAAAATTATTTAAAATAGACATTATATAGAGTGAAGACAGAAAAAACAATACATGATTCATTAAATGTGAGAGAATCGTTATACATGTGACCGGAGCAAGGACAGGATTTAAAATTTTCAAGCAAATGAGCAAGAAGTAATATTATTTGGCAATGAGAGTTTTACATAACAAACCACTCAGCAAGACGAACTTCAATGAGGAATTTAACAAAGTAATTTCAAAGATATCTGCTATTTTTCAAGTGCATATATTTAATTTAGCCATTTCTATTTTGAGAGATAGTCATAAAAAGTATTGTTTTGTCTTTTCAGTAAATTACTGTATATTTTCAAATGTAAACAAATATAAAGAAACAACTTTTAAAATTTGGAAGAATCATACTCTATTCTTACCTTTCATTTTAATCTAAGTTAGAAAGTCACTCCAATGAGACCATTAAGTACGAAGAACACTATAAAAACAGGTGTTTGACGGCTCTCTCTAAATTAATTATGCACACAAAACTAAGTCGAAGGTACCACAAGAACGAAAGAATCGCCCCCTGTTGCAAAAGCCAGACTACTGGTTAGTGATCCTTTACGAGGTATACTTTCCAACACACACGCCGATTTCAATGTTTTTCCCGCCGTAGGTAGATTTAGACCCTCGTCGACACGTATGCGGAGGTGCTTCAACCAGGTGGCTCTCAGTTGATGTGATTCTTGTCGTTAGAGGGCGTTAAGATTTCGTGGTAAGCTTCTTTGCTGCTTTACTGCTTCCTCGCGCATAGCCTAATTGACTTGTATCTATTTTTTCAGTTCTTTTGCAACACAGAATAGATTTTATACAACTTTTTTTGAAGAAAATTGTTAATATAATTTATGCACGTTAGCAACAATATATACTTGTAGAACAAGTGAAGATGACAATATTATACACCAACCAACATGTGCTGGGAAGATGTATTAGTATTCAGATCATATTTGTTTGCTTCACAGAAAAATATTTAACGGTATAAGAAGAAATTGTTGGGTCTTTTCCTATAGACAAAGGTAACAATACAAATCAAACCTTTATCTAGGGAAGCATCATACAATGTATTTCAGTATTTTCTTTAATTATCCCTTTGTTAGATTTTTGTCTAAACATTAAACAGTATAATACTTCTTTAAACAATTTTTAGACAAACTACCAAACACCCTACTAGATAAAATATATATATGCTTTTTACTTGTTTGATTGGAAACTTAATAGTTCAACGAACGTTCATTGCAACAGTTTTACCTCATATTACAAAATAAATTAATAAAGGTTGTTCACAAAAAATGTATAATGCCTAGGACTAATTGGGGGAATGAAATATGAGAGTAGTTTATTCTTCTCATTGACAAAAGGTATAATACTTTGTGATAAATATATTAGCACACCTTTGTTTATTGGCGGAATACTTTTACACGGATTCAATAGTCTACGATGTAGAAATAATATTAAGAATTACAAGAGTGGCATAACAGTTAAGTGCAGCGCCATCTATTGATTAAGGCATATACTATAAATAAAATATTTCATAAAGAATGAGCGTCTGAAGATCCTACTAACTGGAAAATACAGTAACAACTATAAGTTTGATATTAATGCAGAAATCGTTAGTTATACATCGTTTTCTTCCTCAATAACGACTATAGTAAAATAGTTTTCATGGAGTTATTTTACGAACTAATTAAGCGTTAAAACAAGGTTTTGTAAAGTGCTCTTTTTTGTTGAGTTGTATTCCATGTTACCATTAATTTAAATTTACTTTTTGACATTCCTTACAAACCTAAAACTCATGTAAACAGTAATTTAAATTGCATGAAAGAACTTTAAAGATAAATGATGTTTTATAAAGAACTGTTTGCACCTCGAACTCTTTATTCTAGTTGTAAGCAATAATGTTGAACGTAACCCTGAAATAAGTTGCAATAGTTTACTTTATATACTGACACTAAAAACGTTATTTTACATAAAATGAATGAAGTAAAAACCAGTATATGTCTTCAGTTTCTATTTTCATACTCACGCTTGATTGGATTGTCTTGAAAATCTATCTATATAATTTTAACGTAATCTAATATTAATTTTCAATTTCAACATGAATTTATAAGTTTATGGGATTTTATATATTTTAATGCCATTCATTAATTTGTTTGTTTTTTGAATTTCGCGCAAAGCTACACGAGGGCTATCTGCGCTAGCCGTCCCCAATTTAGCAGTGTAAGACTAGAGGGAAGGCAGCTAGTCATCACCATCCACCGCCAACTCTTGGGCTACTCTTTTACCAATAGTGGGAATAGTGGGATTGACCGTGACTTTATAACGCCCCCACGGCCATTCATTAATTTTCAGTATTTCACAGTGTGGTAATAAGAGAAAGTTCAAAATGTAACTTTTATATTTTCAGTCTGAAGAGAAGTATAGTAAATTATCTTGTTTGCTGCATTCAGTGAATAATTTTGATCATTGTTTATTTTATTTCATTCCACCCTAAAAAAATCTTATAAAATCTGCATGAGTTATTTTATATTTTCGTTACAGAGCGTTTTTCACTGTAAAATGAATGAACAAAATATAAAGAAATGTAAATTAAACATGCAATCTTTTTCATTTTTTTGACTATCCTAATCCAAAGGAATTTTACCTTCTAACATGCCCCCTGGTGAGTCAGTAATAAGTTTTCGGAGTTACAACAATAAAATCCATGATTCACTTCTCTGCAGTGGACAGAGCGCATTGAGCCCATTGTGTAACTTTGCCTAAAACAAACAAACCTTCTGACATGGCAATAACCATTTGGAGGCGAAAGTCCTTTTAAATTTTCGTTCTTTTCTTTTTGGGGATAGTCTGTTACTTTGTGAAACCTTCTGCAATAAAAAGTTCTTAATGAAAGGTGTATCCAAGTCATCTCCTGTCACACCTATAGTTTTCACGTCTTTGTCGTTTAGTTGAATGCATGCTACAGTGAAGCCAAGTAACCCAAATGGTAGTTAAATGAAAGTGCAAGCTATCTTGGAAAAAGCATAATGCGCAAAAGCATTTTTTAAGTATAATGGGAGAAGTTATAAGTAAACAAGGCATTTCCTAGGTGCAGAATATTGAATTGCACAGTTTGATAACAAATTAATGCAATGATAACATTTGAGACTCATAACGTGAAAAAAAAAATTGTGTCGGGAAAACTTTGAGACATTTCATTATGTAAAAATCTTGTCTGTCAAATACTTCAGTAACATGGATACACTTTTCTCACGTATAAAAATGTTATGGAGTTTTGTCAAGGATGCAGTAATGTAAACCTGATTTTCTCAAGCACAGGAAGACACAAAATTAGCCCAGCAAATAGAATTAATAGATGATAAAACAAGAAGTGGGTTAACGCTAATGAATCTCTAATTAACGACTAAATTTTATACGTTTATAGTAATTACTGTGGACTCATTAAAATAAGAAAGGATACATATCAGATAATGTGATTAAAATATTCATGTAATGCTGAAAGACAGATAAATACTTAAAGATAGTATAGCATTTGAGGAAATAAATTACTGACCACCCCTCCTTCATGTTAGATGAAACCCTCATCATAAGTGCATATTGGGCTATACAGATGACATAAACTAATCCACCCAATAATATAACACACGATTGTATTTTTATTCATACAACTTACAAAATTGTAGTACCTAGTAGTAACTGCTAGACAAACAAGGTTGTCACTAACCCTTAAGAATTTTGTTACGTAAGTTCGCATGGTTGTTCCAAGACTTGTCTATTTTTAACATGAATCGGTTTGCTTGATAATTTCTTAATCTAGTCTTAATGATTTATTTTGTATGTTGGTTACGTGTGGGGATAGAGAAGTTGGCAACTCTGATTTCCCTTTCTGGTTGATAGGACTTATCTGACGACGTGATAGCGTTCTAGGAATGCTTTGATGACTGTTTGGTGAAGTTTTGGTAATCATTTAGTGAAACTGTCTGCTTCTCTCTCTCAGTAGCCAAACACAGACTAACTGACCAAATAATACAAGAGAAAATATTTTATACTTTGTTTGATCAATATATTTGTAATTACACGATATAATTTCTAAAAGATCAAGATCAAACAGAACAGTCCACTGATGTTTTTGCCCTGGTAACACATCATTATTTTCATCTGAAGCATGAACCACACATTGTGACGAAAGCTGGAGCCTCCAGGTACCATGGGAAACTAATGCCTTTAATGATACTGATACTCCAGCAGATGGCCAGTTAAGAAACAAACTATGGGTCTCTTAATTCATCTCCGCAGTCATGGATACCGGATCAGGGTAATCTGAACAACTTCTTAAAGCAATTCAGGCAAGGATGTACCTGGCATGCTTCAACTCAGAGACAGGTGATCCAACATGTGAAGCTGAGTTTGTTTGGCTCATAGTCATGGCTGAGCTGCACTAAAGGTCCAATACATTAGACAGGAAAGACATCCACAAGGCCAATTGTAAAGCTCAGAATTATGGTTCTCATGAGCACTTGGTTGTTTTTGCAAATGAATTGTATCGTCTACAAATGAAGGCAAATCCAAGACTGGCAACTGAATATCACAGAGATATCGTTCTTTGTAAGTTTATTTAAAGCTGTTTCTGATTAAAGCCGTTTTGTGACAACGCTGATTCAAAGGGTGATGTCAAACAACTTACTGGGGAGAAAGAAGAACAAAGCTGAAGCTGCAGTGACTCACTCTACCTGAGATAACACTATTTGGTAAGGCTCATGATAAACACTCCAGATGTTGCAATGTAGTACAACTGTTACCAGTTGGTGAACAGGGATTCCGTGATCCTATTAACATGAATTTACCACCAGCACAGTAGGAAGGTGTTCCCAGACAACTATTTGAACATGAGAGATAAAACATCTGATTTAACTGCACACTGGCAAGACGTTGGAGAAGAAACTATTGATGTTATCCATGCCATATTGTGTAACAAGAAAGACAACAGGAACCTTTTTTGGTAACTACAGATATCAACAGATAGATCAGCAACAACAAGTTTGGATATGTCAAACTGTGGAATTGAGGAATACATCAGTACACTTACGTTTGAGCGCGTGATGGCTAACTGCGGCAGGCATAATTGTGGATTAGTACACACCTGTGGAAAAATAGGAATGTGAAGTTGAGTTCTAAAAGACACAGAAGCTACCAGGACTTTGGTTGGTCTAATGATGCATCAGATACTGTGAGCAAGTCAACACACTGGCCATTTAATGTTGACTTTGTTTGAGCTTATGGATATGGGCTCAAGATAATTGAAGAAGCGTGCATCAGTCTTATTATCTGTGCTATCTTAAGCTCTCTGAAATAAAGGCACTGTCTCTGATTTTTAACCACTGGCGTCTTAGGGTATGAACCCTTTTGCAAAAGCTATTAACAGAATGACCTGTGTTGCTGGTGAACTGAGCTCTATAGAAAAATCACTCAGAGCTGGCGAACTTTATCCCAGAAACAATAGACTGCACAACTTTCCATTCTTTCTAATGCCTTGTGGAACTCTACAAACTGATGTAGTGATAGAACATTCACATATAAACTGCTTTTTTTTTAATTCAGAAGCAACACTGCACTTGTTCAGATAGTTTACTTTTCAAATGAAATATTTATGCCAATGATGGT